TCCCCCCCCCCCCCCCCCCCCCCCGCAAACAAACGTATCGGTCTAATGGTACGCACACACACGCTCGGACACGCACACCCTTCGATAAACGGCAGCGCTTAACTCCGCTGGCTGCCAATGACTGCCCGTCGTGGACGTTGGCGCGTTGACACCTACTACGGCAGTTGTTCTTATGATACTCGCACGTACGCAGCGTAACAAAACCAACGGCCGTGCGCCGTGCACAAATCAAACAACGGCTACGCACCAAATCTCACCAACCTCTTTAATCTTTTTCTGTCCGCCGCCGGCCGCTGTTTTTCTCTCGCCATTTTTCTGCTTTTTTTTTTTCGCAACGTCTGCTGTACGTACTCAATCCTTCTTGGAGGTGGTAGTACCGCCGCCGTTTCTCGTAGCATCGGATCTCTTGCCCAGCTTGAAGACGTAGATGTCGAGCGCCAGGCTTGTCTCCGTCACGACCAGGTAGAGGTACAGTGCCCTGTTCGATCAAAACGACGGCAAAATACATACAAAAAAGAACAACGTGCGCGCACACACGACTTCACTCAAGATGTTGACATATATTTTCATTTGGCAAGGCGGTTGGTTTGCATGGTGCACTGTCTGGAGCGCCTGTGCAACAACCATTTATTGTGGGAATGGATGTATAAATAGTTGCGGCTTGCGCAGGGAGCGACAAGAGAAATGCCGATACATTCTTCGTCGGTGGGGTTCGCCACGTCGTTGACACTACTACGTGGGTAAACGAACATAGTCTTCTTACAATTTAAGTTTTCTCTGAGAACGCTTCATTTCGCTTCTTTCGGCTTCTGTGAGCGCTCTATTCCGGTCTTCTCGGGCTCTCACAGAGCAGCATTTCCTCTGGAAATTTGGCACTTTGTTTGGTGGACTTTCCACTTTTATCTCCCGCTTTGATCTCTCTCGCCTGCTGCTGTCACCCCGCTCTGTACCATCATACCACGCATTCCACTATTTTCGGCCTGGTCCCTCTTTGTCCTCGCCCTTTTTCATCTTATTTTCATTTATTTTCTCTTCTCTTTCGGTTTCCATTTTTATTTTTTCTCCTTTTTTTTCTCTTTTTTCTTTTTTTCTCTCTTTTTCTGTGCCAGATGGCCTTGTCTCTGCTTGCGTTGTGAAGTACCAAGATTGAACCAAGGGGGTGTACCTCTTTCTCTCCGGCCCATGATAGATAGTGACTGCTAGTCTCAGTTGATACCTCGCATAGCGCGAAGAGGGAGTGGAGGATTCCAGAATATCTGTCGTTGATTTCTATTGACTTGCGGACCCCTCGGGGCCAGTTTATTTGAGTGTACCTTTTTAGGGTAAGTTAACCTGTGACCACGGGAATCCACCGCGTCGAGTGTTGGATCAGTACGGACATACGAAGGTACTGGGTAGAGAGAGATCGGAACGGTTTTTAATGTGAAGACAACAACAACAACAACAACAACTCGAAGTACGGCCCTCTCTGTGTGTGCCTCCTTCTCCTCCGTTCCTCCGTCTCTCTATATGTCTCTGACGGTCTGTCTATCCACATTCTCTTTTCACTTTCGCCTTCTCTCTTGACCGCTCTCGCGTCGGAATGGTCTGTTGTTTGTTCCGATTCCGTGTGCTACTGCTGTACATTTTTTTTTCTTC